ATTGTATAAAAGTTTAGCATATAACATGATTTTGCTTCATTAGTTTCTCCCTTAATAGACAAACAGATATAAAATAAATTTCTAATGCAACATGACCAAATAGTTGATCCAAATAAAAAAAAAGAAAAACCAAATAGAAGATGAATAGCATCAAATTTAATCAAATTTAATACAATTAACTAGATAAAACTTATAATTAAAAAAGAAATAACTACAATTTTATGAAATGGTATTAATAAAATTGAATGATATAATATAAAAGGGGTGGGGTTATCGTTACATCCTAAATAATTAATACCATATCATTTTAATGTAATTATCTATTATACCTTTAAGTTACATTTTCCTCGAAATTATTATTTTTTTCTTAATAAATTAAAAGGTATAATAGTTAATTAAAATAAAAAATATAGCATTAATAATTGAGAGCGTGATAAAAACATCACCTCATAAGAGAGGGAAAAGAGGACTCTCCTATGCTTGACTTTGTATATATCTAAGTTTTGGACTTTTTTGTTGACATTGTTGTTTTGTTATGCCTAACTCTCTTTACATGAGTAGTTCTAATATTGTTGAAAAAAAAGACTTCACATTTTCTTTAATTTTACAAATATCATATAATCACTATTCAAGATGTATGAAATGGTATCAATAAAACTTGAAAGATATAACATAACAGATGTGGAGTTATTGTCACATCCTAAATAATTAATACTATATTATTTAATATAATTATCTATTTTACCCTTACATTACATTTTTCTCAAAATTTTACATTTTTTGTTTATTAATAAATTAAAAAGTGTAATAGTCAATTAAAATAAAAATGTCACGCCCCAGAACCCAAATCCGAGAACGTGGCAGACGCCGTGCACTCGTGAGACGGGTCCCACAAATGCACAAGACTCGGAACTTATCCAATTCACAAAATCTCAAGAATAAAATCAACCTTACAAAAGGATGATAAAATCTAAAACTTATACCCCAATTGAATGGCTAGCCTTCTAATTCGTCACTCCCCTCGGTTTCCCCGTCCTCGGTTTCGCTTCCTGAAATGGTGGACAAGGAAAAACTATGAGATAACTCAGTAAGTAAATATGGATAGCCCTTGAGTGAAACTTTTAGCATGCCAGATAAACCATGTAAAAGTAATAGAACTTTCAATGATAAACCATTCCTGCATAATAAAACTCATCAGTTGTCTCATCTATAAGTCATGGCCAGTGTTTAACACACTCCCACTGGCAGG